TAAATCCAATGACGTGGATATTACTGGTAACATCACAATAATCATCAACTACGTATCATTAAAGAACAAAATAAAACACAGTGCAGCTTTTTTGGGCGTATTTTGTTTGTTTGTTCTCTATATTAAATGAAGCAAAAAAAATGTCTCTCGCGTAATCTTGGCCGGTTGTGTCCTATTAGTTTAACGTGCCCAAACTGTGAATCTAAGAATTCATTGTTCGATGCCGTCTGCCGCAAAAATGCGCTTCGTAGTTTGGAGCTGTGAGTTCATTATAATAGTGACGGTCAAATAGCACTGTTCGGTCAGATAAGAGTAGCCCAACTAGTACTGTTGACCAGCTGCTTTTCCTCTAGTCTGTCAATTCAATATTAAGGAGGGCTATGCGCAGGTAGCCCTTTGTGTCACTTTGCCCGAAAATTCTGAAACAAACCTCTCGTCTTTGATTTAGTGGAAGATGAAACGTCTATGTTATGGGCATAGACTCGTTCATACACTGTACGTGTAAACCGTAAAAGTTACGGTTTACATGTACAGTGTATGAACGAGTTACGGTTTAAATGTACAGTGTATGAACGAGGTTCATACTTTATTTATAGAACATTCAGAAAGTACGTTTTAATATATTGATACTAAAAGAGTTACTAGTAATACAGGATTATACAATTAACTGTTATTAACATATCCAGTACTTTTTAAAGGTTTTAATCCATGAATTTAATGCCAGTTTCTACACTCAGGAGAACGTTCTTTGATCGAAACAATAATAACGTGAATCGCAATACGTTTGGACTAGCAGGCGTTGTATTATTAAATATCCCTCAGTGGCTTAGGGGCAATTCGGTTTCCTTTCCCGCGGTGGGCAGAGTATAGATAGTCCATTGTGACCTTAACAACAAACAAAAAAATAAAATAACGTATTGTTAAATATGTTACTAATTGTATTTTAATTACTGTAAAATAATTATGTTGCGAAAAACAATGATATATATAAACTCTTGACTTCATGAACAATTCTTTAAACAATAACTCTAAAATCGCAAACATAACCCTCAGCAAAATAAGCATAAAGAAAACGTTATTCGTTATGGACAGACTGACTGAAAAAATCTCTGCAAAGAGTATTTTATTTCCATAAGATCATTCTGTTTATTATTTTCATTTGTTTGTTTGTCATTAAGCACAAAGCTACACAATGGGTTATCTGTGATCTGCTCACCAATGGTATCGAAACTCAGTTTCTAGCGTTGTAAGTACGCAGACATGCCGCTGTGCCACCGAGGGGGCATTATTTTCATATCAGGAACGCAACAATTTCATTTAAAAATATCTCTCCTATTTAAGCTCGATTCTATTCTTCGCCCTTACGACACTAAAATTCGGGTTTCGGTCCTAGCAGTGAGTATAGCACAGTTAGCCTATTGTGTAGTTTGGTGTTTACCTCTAAAAGGTGACGCATTCATGATAAATATAAAGGTTTTAAATATCATGTTTTTTTCAGTGTTTTCCTCTTTGTATGATTCTCAGCAAAGCATTCAGTGATCGCCTTAACTCATATTATTCAATGAGTTTTTTATTCCTCTTATCTTTAAATATATATAAGCATGTTTTGGAATTTTATAAAATATATATTCACTTGTAAAAATACGGATGTCTTTTTTCACCTTCATAAAACTCGCAGGAGAAATTTTGTTTCAATAATGTGCTCAAGTTTTGGGAGAAAGATTATACTTACTATACAGCGAGAGCGTGATAAGCCGGCCTAGCAACAAGTGAATAACAACAGTGTGCTCAATTACCACTTGCAAGCTTAGCCACGAGTTAACTCTCTAGTCTCGTTGGGCGGGGAATGCAGCCCAAAATAGCACCAGACGGCTGGTGTTTCCCTTTAGTAGGTGTTCAGTTTCCAACAATCTAACTAGTCCAGCTTCTTCTTTTTTATTTGTGTATAATATTTATAACTGAAGTCCAAAAGCATTTATAAGTCAACCACCACTGCTTATAATACGTTATATTTAGGATAAAAAACAAATCTGTAGTTCTGTGATGTATACAAAGTAGATAATAATAAATAAAAAAAATCAGGAACCTGCTGTCAAAGGCGTTCAACTGATATCTGCATTCGTTATATATAAACAAAGAAGCGGTTCCTCATTATTATACGTTTTGAACCGCTGAACATCCCCTGGGCTTCCAACCTGCCTATAACTTAGCATCCTATACCGTTATGAGACGGAAGAACCCTATGACATATCACAATCTGATGAAACTCGTCCACAAACGAACATAATAGTATGACTTCTCAATATCCCGTCCAGAGTCAATAAAAAACTTTGTTAATAGAGAGCGCTCTCCAAAGTTCCTGTATTATATAGTTTTATATGTATTATTCTTTGCAGTACACATATTACAGTAGAACATGCAACCAACTGAAAAATATTTTTCTAACCGAAACCTCGCTAATGACGTCACATAATTCATCATTCACAGTTGTAGATGTAAAATGATGCGAATTTCTAATTCTTCTGATCTGAAGGAATGCATTTTTTTGTGTGTGTGCAGCACACGTTGGGACTTTATTTCAAGTGAATTAAATGAAAGATGCTCTTTAAAAAAAAAATCTAACCGACTTAATTACTAAACTTCTCTATCACTTTGCTAGTTGCAATATAACTGTTTTTTTCAATGTTCACCTTTATGGACTAACATTACATGAACTAATAAAATCATGATACAGGGATATATAATGACTGCTAGTGGTATTGTAAAATTATTTCCATGTAAGTTATTGAAAGCAAATAATTTCGTTCTTTATTCAAAAATAGATTGGCGAAACACATACACAAATACGTAGAAACATCTCGTTAAAACAATTGGTTAGTAGGAGCTTACCACGGATTCCCCATTTGGAAGCCATACTTGTTTGACGTCACTAAGGTGTAGTTAAAGAAAGACCCCGTCGATGAAAAGTGTTAAAGAATACAAGATACGTGAATTTTGTTTTATAGTTTATAAATTATCTGATTAGAAGCTTCTAGAAATTATTTTAATATCCTCAGAGCGATCCACCTACGACTCCATCTTACCAGTCATTATGTGGGCCAGACTTAAGCGGGTCAACAACCTTTCCTTTCCTGAGTGTATCTTTTATGTTCTAAACATAAGTCTAAGTTGTCATCGCCCTCTTTCCTTGACTTCGCTCAACAACAAGTCTCTAACGTGTGGCAAATTTTAGGTCAGGATTCCAGTTGTAATCCATATATTATAATGACACTGACCTACATTAAATTTTCGCCTCATTGCCTTTGCTAGACTGCTTGACAGCCGTTTTTAGTAATAAAATGTATAAATAATTATTATATTGGTACCAATATAATAATTATTTATATATTTTATATGTAGAAAAACTCTACCTTTATTTCTATCAAAGAGAAACGAGCAAGATTCTACATTGAAGTACATGTTCTATTATTTTTATTACGTATTTTAGGGTTTTATTCACATTTAAACGTAAATCGCTATTCCCTATTGTGAACTAAGCAATTTAAATTATTGTAATTTTATATTTAACACAGAAAATGCAAGTGAGTTTGATATTTCATTGAGATTAAGACTATGTTTTTCATTCAGTTTTTGTAGAATAAACTTTATTAGGCCTAAAACAATGTATCATGCATATTTAAATTGTGAGCCAGGTCAAAGATAATATCAAAATGATGATGAGCCACATTAGTGAATAAATTACTTGTTTTGAATTATTCTGTAGTATGAAGAAAAATAAAAGTTCGTGCACGTTGTAAAATCGTATTTAGTGTGGGATAAATACCGAGTGGTCAGGAACGTACAAACAACTCACTTGCACGAACAAGTATAAACGTTTCCTAGAGTATTAGCGTAATTTACATTGTTTACGAAATCAATACCAGACTTACCGTTTCGTTAGTTACATTGTTTTCTGTAATTCACTAAGCCTTTTTTTATATATTTCTAAGATGATAATTTTACCGGCTACAAAATTTTGAAGAAGGATCTTTTATATAAAAAAGTACAAATCATGACAATAGCTACACATATGTATTTTTAAATTGTAATTATTAGTGTTTTTAGTAATTTCTGTTTATGACACTCCTTAAACAATCAAAGAAGGGTGAAAGTTGCTATGAGAATTTCAATGTTTAAAAACCAAACAGGACACATTTGAAAATAATTCAAATTTATATTTAATTTTTGGTCAGCATCTGAATACAGAAACTGATATTTTACACACACACATCTACACAATAATATCATAAATAATTTTATATTGGTCCGCGTAACCAGTTATGGAAGATTTGAACTTTTTAAAAAAGACTTAAGGCACTTCATAACGCACCATTTGTTTAAATTAATGCATTCATTAACGCTTTTGTGACCTCAAACACAGAATTGTCCAAATCGAACAAGACGTCAAAATTATCCCAATAACGAAAAAATGAAAATGTATAAACCAAGTCTTCCACTAATCAGTTTTTAAGACTAATCATTAACCCCTTAATGGCATTATAATTAATCACGCTATCATTCACCAACTTAAATATGGGTATCAAACATCTTTCATAAGCTTATTTAGGACGTTTCTTTAAAATAAATAAGTTACATAAATACACGGTATAAAAGTTTCAGACATAGCGTGTTTTGCCTCTTTCGTCAACACACAAAACTCACTTTTAAAATGAAACTACATCTAAGTTTTGCTTCACATATAGATACGACTTTAGTCATCTACTACAAGTATAATACCCAATAATCTAGGTATAATACGGAATATGCAAGCTCTTAAAACCATAAGTCACTTTGTTACGTACAATCAAAGTAATCATTTATCGAATCTCAACTCTTTTCAAATAGCTCATATTTTAAGCAATAAAATGACCTAGTTTACAATGTAATTAAAATAAATACACATCTAATAAGTAAGGCGACGCGAAATATGCATAAACATGGGCCTAAATTAAACTCAATAGCATGAATATTCATGAAATAAAACTGAATTCTCACATATTGTAATATTTGCATAATAAACAACCTTAAAGCTTTTAGGCTTAACTGAGAACTAGAGTTGCGTTGGTCCTAAAACTGTACGTTTCATGCGAAACCTCTAATATACAAAGTATCTTTTTTAATCGAAGCTGGCCAAACTGCTGAAGACTTAATCGAAGCTGGCCAAACTGCTGAAAATTGGAAGGCGAAAAAGACCACGACTGACATCCAGAGGGGAACTGCATGTAGCCGTCCCGGGACTACTAGCCAGACTAACCCCGTCCAGCTCCGACGTGATAGAATCCACTGGCGACGATGGGGCTGGAGGATCACGAGCGATAGAATCCATTATTTCGCAATTTAGGCTCTTCCCTGTAAACATGGCAGGTGTCAAACTTGGCTGCGACCCTCCAAAAATCGGTAAATGATCTTGTTGTTGCGGAGGTGACACGATTGACGTAAAATCTTGAGAAAATGAAAATGCCGTGTTACCATTCGACGGGGCATGGGTTTGTGAAGTTGGCGAAAAGTTCCCAAAGGTATCGTCGTTAAAAAAGCTATTCACAGAAGTTGGACTTCCGCTCATACTGGACGGTGGCGAGAGTTCTCCAGCCGAATCTAGACTAAAACTGCCGAGGGACAAGGCTTTCGGTCTCGAAATAACAGTCACGTCAGCAGAGGAGCATTCATTCTGGCCAAAGTTGTGCATACCTAGTTGAAAATTAGACAGTAGATTCTTTCTTGTTTCTTCACTATAATGTATGAAGTGACATCTGGAACCATATGGACACAGCCCGGTTGTGTGGAATGTACGACACAACTCCGTTTTGTACTTAGGATGTCGGGCTAGGGTACGAAGCTCGTGCATTCCATGGGCAAACTGACATTTATCTCCATACTTACATGTTCCGTTTTCTTCAAATGGACGACATAATTCAGTCTTGTAGCGGGTAGAATTGGTCTGATTAGGCTTGGCTTGGACACTGCTTCTATCCACGGGGTCACTAATTGTTCGGTCAAGCTTACGGAGCTCTCGCCCACCGCTGGATAAATTGAAAATATTGTTGGAAGTACACATATTCGGTATAGAATTAGTACATACTGATAACCCAGGGGAATCTGGCTTCTGACGCATACCGAGTGACGTGGGTGACGGTGGACTGATGTTTACATTTGTTAAAGGATTGGCAGAATTCCTTCTGAAAGTTTGAAAGTTGATGACTGGTGGACTGACTGGTCTCCTGTCCAGCGGGAAGACTGTTTTGTGCGTGTTTATGTTGTTAGATTTCTGGAAATAAATTAAAAAGTATTTGATAAATAATAGTAAAATAAATAATAAAACTAGAAAAGCCGTACTGTTGTTACTAAGTCGTTTAGTGTGCTAAGCAATATACCACTAGTACTACTTAAAATTAAATTTATTTTGAGCTAGTTGTGCTCATTACTCACACTATTCGATTGGCTAAAAAAAAAGTCGTTTGCCAACATAAACACGCCATAAGTAAAAGCTAGTAGAAAATATGTCTTACTCTTACCTTATATAAAACATCATTGCAGTCAAAGAGAGTCGTTACCATAACTGCGGGCATATCGTCGTCGCTCTACAACCATCCGAACTCTTACTCCTCCAGTATGCCTTTTCCACCACCAGTCGCGAAGCTTTTCTATCTATTCACTGAGAATCAAGGATGCTAACGTCAAACGTAGGCGGAACTTTAGTTTCATTTGTCCAATGGTTGAGGCCATTTCTATGACGTTTTTAACGTAAGCTCAACAACGTGCACGGGTGTTTGAATCAAAGGTTTATCATTGGCCAATGAGGTTGACTTATTTAAGTGAAGGTATTAGGAGTTCTGAGTAGGCGTCAGGGGCTAATACCAATAGTAGAAAACGTTACGTAGTTTACGTGAAAACATCACATGGATCTCAAGGTTTGTTTAAGTACATGTTACTATTTTTTCAACATTTTTCTCCCCCTTTTAAGAATATAAATCACATCTTTATTTACTAGCTTAGTAGGTTTTGTTATTAAGCGAAAGGCCTCATCAGCTGTGGCTTACAACAAACAATTATAGTTGAAATGCGATTATACTTTTCGCAACTCAACATTTTAGGTTGTAATCCAGCCGGCTTGATGAGCTCTGTTATTGAGTCAAAAGCTTCGCAAACAGCTGAGTTCCACAGAATGTATAGTTGTAATGTTTTTATACATTCTGCTTATGGAAGAAACGTAATGGATCGATTTAAATTATTATCAATCTTTTTGTGGTATAATGATACAAACTTTCCTCTAAATGTCACGCTCCGCCAGCTTTAAGTGTTTTACAGTTTTAAAACTGCCTTATCTTTTGACTCAATCTCAAGCTAGCATATGCTAATTGCTTTCTAACTAAGTCAACATGATAATGTGATCTTTTCCCGCCTTTTTTCCAGCACCAATACTCAGGCTTATAATAACATCATAAATGCATTGAAATATATTCCCAATCGGCGATACCCGCGTAAATCCTGAAAGGGATCGGAGTTGCTCCTAATAATAATGATAATAATAATGCAAAAAACAAATAAACAGACTTGATAATAAAAAATATATATATATAAAATACCGTACTGGGAAAAGAAAGTAGCTATAGTGACAACATTTTCAGCTTCTGTGATTGGTTCGTTCAAGGTCACTCGTCAGCGGTGGTTTGAAATGCTTGATTTTTGTTGCAGACCCCTTACATACAGAGCGGCTCGTCTTTCACTGTGACATTTGCTGTAAAAAAAGCAACTCGCAAATGGCTAGCAACCACTAGATTGCGGTATATGGTGGGATAACCCTTTCGCATATTACTAGATATTTTTCCCAGCACATTTTTCATTTGTAAGCTGAAAAGTTTAACCAGTGAAATAAATTATGTTTTGTTTTAACCTTTGCTTCTGTATTATGACACCAGTAAGATTGTAGTTTAATTACGCACTGTTTAAACCGTAAAATTGATAAACATCAGATCAATGTGTTTCAATGCCTAGATAAAAAGAAAACTAAATTCATTTTATTCAAAGGAAGGTTTACCTAAGTAAGGTTTCATCTAAGACTCGCTCTAGTGGGGGAGCCAGGGGGCCAGTTCCTCTGAAATGTCGCTGTCACCATGCTACTGTCGTTTATTAATCTAATTTTAGACTTATTTTCGGTTTGGCCACACTAAGAAAAGCTGGAGCAGGGACTGATTTCGACAACTGAAATTAAAATATAAAACTTTTCCGTATGTTCGTGTGAGCACGACCACGTGCAGCAAATCAGCCATTTCAAACTGTGTGTTTCTGATTCTATTTTGTAACGTTTGAACTGAAACACTTTCAGGTTTTTACGTTACAGTTATATTATATATTAGCTGGAGTACCAGTGCTCTGGACGGAAGTTATGTAAATTCATGATTAATGAAAGGTTATCCTTGGACATGAAAAGGTGCTTCCCTTATATGTAATTGTAAAAAACGCAAACACTCATAAAAACCACAAAACACAAAATGAGAAACCGCAGATTTGAATGTATCTCCACATAGATCCAACAAACATTCATGCCAAATGTGGTGGAGATTCATCAACAGGGGGCGAAGTAGTGGTAACAAACAAAAACAAAAAAAAAACACGCACCCCCCCCCCCACCTACCTAACTAACTACTACAACTAACAACTAAACGTAAATTAAACGTTAAGTTAACGTTACGTACCGTACCCGTACGTACGTACGTA